TAAAAATTGCCTCTTACTAAATGGCTTGGATCCGCCCCTGCAAATAACATAAAAAAAAGTTTTACTTAAATAAATACTCTATAAAATAATAAAAAAAGCAAGACTTGGCTAAATAATCTATAAAATAACTTGACCAAATACACATAAAGAAATGATTCGCCTGAACTATATAGCATAAATCCAAACTATGTTATGTTATTTCGAGGTACATAAATTCACAAGCTCATATTTTAAAGTGGAAACGATATAATCAATATTTTTGCAAAACAATTTTGCCGGACGCTCTGATAAACTTATTTATGTGTTTGATCTCCATTGCAAAAAATAAATTAATATTGGCAAAAGAGAGCCAAAAAAACCTTTTTTACCAGCCTTGCTTAAAACTTTTTCTTATAAAAGGGTTTCGTATAATAACTAATACTTGGTTTCATATTTTTCGCTGCAATTTAACAACTCATATTTAACATTACTGATTAAATAAAAAGTTTCATAAAATATTTTTTTTTTTTTTTTTTTTTTTTTTTCAACACAAAAACCTGGAAACAGGAAATAATATTACAAGATAAAACTAATGACAAGACCTACAAACAAAATATCTTTCCATTTTTCTTTAATGTCACAATTTCTTCAGCTTTAATTAGCTTTATTTTTTTAAAATCAGAATCTAATGAAGAATTAGATACTGACATACACAATAAATTTTGGAGATATATATAGTGAAAACTATTATCAGACAGTATTATAGAAAAAAAAAGGATGCTTACTGCAAAAATTACCAGTATTTTTCTAATTTTTAAAGTTTAATGTCAATCTATGGTTTAACTTAAAAACAATTTAATTCTATAAATGTTTTTATTTTATAAGACGTTGATAGATTTTATGAGACGTTGATATTGACGTTTAAAATGTTTTACAAATGTTGTTTATTTTTCTTGCGCAATGTGCATGATTAAAAAAGTTTGTGCGAGTGATACGTTTAACATGAAAGGTAGTAATATTTATACAAGCATATTATTTTATTGATAAAGATAAATTTAAAGTTAAAACATATGTTAGAACTTTTGATTAATGCTCAAAAGACGGCAGTTCTAGTTTTAATCAACCAACAAGTTCAAAAAAAAAGTAATAATGATGGCAATTCAACTATTTAAAGAAGCAATAATGATAACAATTCAACTATTAAAGAAGCAACAGCTTTATGAAACTATATGAAGATTTGTGTTTGAGGATGGATTCACAGTGACCACGTTTGTGGAACACGGTTCTTGACGAAAATATGAAAAAAATAAAAATCTATTGATGTTTTTAAAAGAACTATAAAAAAATACTTATTAAATTTAAACAATACATACACTCTTTCATTTTTTTAAAGAAATTTTTTTTATTTTTTGATGTATTTTCTTGCTGTTTTTGTTTGTCTCTGTTTTAATTTTGTATAAAAAATATAAATAGATGAACTTAAATTTTCATATTGTTTTGAATCTTTATAAATTCAGAATCTCTTTTAAATATTTAAATATGTATAAATATATATTATGTATTGCATTGAATATGTATATAATACAATAGGTATATGTTCCGATTTGTAAATTTTTTTTTTAAAAGTTTTTTCTTTTTTGCAAACTTTTTAGTTTCACTCTTTTTTTAATAATATTAGAACTTGTTAAACTGTATTTTTCTCTATTTCACGATAGGGCTTGGTGGTAAGACATTTTGTCTTCTGCTCGCTCCAGTCAGATTGTGGGTACGATTGGAAAGTCTTGTTTTTTTAGAAGGAAAGGCCTTTGTAAACTAAATTGGAAACTCAAAAAAAAAAAAAAAAAAGTTTAGAAGGTGGCAAAAATACTACCTAACATACTACCTATAAATATCTATTTAATTTTGAGGAAAGATATTGTTAGTGGAATTTAAAACTTGTGTCACGGATCCGAGACAATTAAATAGTTTTTTAAATTAAATAGATATTTATATCCTTCCGGTAGGAACAATAGGTTTATACTGTGGCACAAGTTTCAATGGCTGTAACAAAAATTTAATATTCCACATGCAATATTTTTACTTGAAATTAAATAGAACAGGTAGCAAGTTAGGTATAATTGCCCCCTTCTAAAGGTTTTTTTTTTTTTTTTTGAATTTTTAATTTAGTTTATAAAGGTTATTCCTTTTGAAAAAAAAAGAGTTTTCAATGCTGCTCTTTTATTTCTATATATCCCAGTAAACACACAAACGTCTATTAAATGTCAAAACAACGTTTCAACAAAACTTACAGATTTGGTCGATTATCCGTTTAGAATGAAATCCAGATTAACGTTTATAACAAATGTCTATATTCAAACGTATTTTAGACGTCTATCATAGGATTATTATACGTGTGTAAAGCGTTTAGATTTTGTCTAATTTACCTTTAAATCTAGTCTAATTAACTTATATAAAACGCTTAAGTAAACGTATTATAAACTTTTAGATGTCTAATAGTTTATTTGATTTTGTTAATGTAATTTCAATTTATTTATGTTTTAAAACTAATGAATTAAAATTAGGTTATATCTTTTTAACTTTATATAAGTAAGAAGAGCTATATAGGTCTTAAAATTTATAAATAAGATTTAGTTATAAAAGACTTGGTCTTATTTTTTATATTTGCTATAACAATTATAATATGTTTATAAAATTTTATACTATACAACTTATACTACACTTTTATTTTATAAAACTATTTATAAAGTTATAAACTCATATAAAACATTTTCATATAGTGGGGATTTAGAGAAAAAATGTTTGTGAACTATACTTGTTTATGTTTCAATAATTAAAAAAAACTAAATGATCAAGCTTTTTGCAGTGGAAATTTTATATTAAAAGTTTCTACCAAATGTTTTTTAAATTTAATCTCATTAGCAGAAAATAAAAGTTTACATTAAGATTAAGTCAAAGATTACAATTAAAATTAATAAAATTTTGGATCACTGTTTTCTCTGGTTTATGCATAATCAAAAATCTTCCTAGAATACCATCTACGCTTGTTCATCATGCATCTGTTTGTGCAACATCATCTACTATATTCGTATTCTAATCGTCTGATTTCGTAACCTGATTTGTAACCGCAATTGAATTGTAAAATATTTAGCGTTTTAAATGTAAATTCATGAATCAAAATTAGAATTGCACAGAACAACTTAACAAATAGAAGATTTTCTGAATAGAAGTTTCCGAAATTTCCTGTACCATCCATATTTATTTTTGACAATAAAAAATTAGTAGCGTCGCGGTATAACATATGCAGTGGTTTATACCAGCTCTGTTACATCAATTTTCTTTAACAAATGTAACTAAATTAAGCTAAAATGCATCTAAAATGAAAAAAATAAATGTTTAGTTATTAAATCTCTTGATTATTGCAAAGATGAATACCTACTGTTACACAATCATACTAGCACTTACAAAATGAATTTAAACTATTTATAAAACTTACGATTAATGTTATTGCAGCAAGACATTCATAACGAGAGACCAGCAACTCATATTTTTTAACTGTATCAATGTCGCCATCAATAATTTCTAAAACATTGGAGTCCATTGATTTGTCTTTAGGAAGGTAGATTGTCGTGATAAGAATTTTTTAACTTCCATGAATTAAAATGGCGCATCCGACACTTGTTTATCATTTATTTATCAGTCTTTTTGCTTTCAGTTGAAAACGCATTTAAGTCTAATTTAATTATTTAACCAATAAAAAACAAATTTTTAATAAGTTTTTTATTTCGTTTTAATTATGTCAATTTAAACTGCGTGACTTAAGCTGTTATGTGAGACTTCAGTGGCCGTATTCTCATCTCTCCGTTAGGCTTAACGGAGCTTTTATCAAAAAGTTTTTTTTAACTACATTAAAAAAAAAAAATTCTTGAAAAAAATAATTTTTTAATAAAATTGTTTTATTTTAGTCTTTGTTTTATTTAAGCAAATTCAAATAAAGTTTTTGTCACTTCTTTACTTAAAAATGTTGTAATGAAATTTTTGACAAACGCTCCGTTAAGCTTAACGGAGAGATGAGAATGCGGCTGCTGACTAATAGCTATATTACTATATTATAACACAATAAACGTTTATTAAACGTCGATCAAACGTTTAGAACAACGACTTATATTAGTCAATATTATAAACGTTTGATCAACGTTTAATAAACGTATATATTAAAAGATTTAAAGCGTAGATTTTAAATCTATAAATGTTTACGTGTAATTTGAAATATACATTTCAAATCAAGCGTTGATTTTTAGTCAATAATAGGTCGATAAACGTTTAATCCGTTTTTCGACCAATATCAACTAAATATTAAACCAATCTGTGTTTACTGGGAAGTGATTTCCTATTTAGACTTTTCTACAGCTTGTGATCGGGACAACCTGTTATAGTATTAAAGAAGTGTTTTCTTCTTAATATCCTGTAACTTCAGGGGTTCCTCAAGGTTCTATCCTTGGTCCTATACTCTTTTTAATTTACATAAATGATCTTTCAGATATTCTCACATCTAAGGTGGCATTGTTCGCCGATGATACTACTATTAATTCTTGTCTTAATAAGAAGCCAACACTCTCTGATTGCTTCAAGGGGGCATTTGAACTTGAAAAGAATCTCACTTCTGCTGCAGCTCTCAGTGGCTAGTGAACTTTAACTCTGATAAAACTTTATTTTTTTCAGCTAATTGTTACCGCAATAATCTAGATCTTCCTATATTTATGAACGGTAATATACTCGATGAGTTATCTACCCTTCGTCTTCAAGGATTAACTCTTACTTCCGATCTTTCTTGGAAACCATATTTCAAATCGATTGGAAAATTAGCATCTGCTAAGGTTGCACAATTTTATACATATATGTATATATATTTATATAAATAAATATATATTTTTTTCAGAAAAGAAAATTGAGAAAAAGTAAAAATTTTGCGCAACCACCAAAAGCAATTTTTTTTTATAACAATGACTTTTAAAATATAAAAATTTAATGATAGGTCATTATTTATTCATAAAATAAAATTATAGTTGAGAGAAAATAACTTCGAAACTTTTTTGGATTATTTGCTTCACTCTATTGTATTGACTCCTTCGATTTTATTTCCTTAATGTTATTTATAACGAATTTCCAAAAGAGTAATCCAGACGTTTGTCCTGCCATGCAATTTTCCGTTTCGACTGCTGAAACTCCTCCCAAATAATTGTAACCCGGTCCAACATTATGAAATGTCTTTAAGTATCCAAATGCATCGTGAACAGCTGCGTGATATGCCATAGGTCCATCTCGGTCAAATAAAATGTTATGTATAAAACCAGTATCGCCAGGGCCTACCCTTCCTAATAAAAATTAAACAAGTATGTTAAATATCAGCGTAACAAAAGTAAGTTCATTTATTCATAACATAAATAAATATTTTTATATTCAAAAGATGGTTTTAGAGCCTTAAAAATTAGAAAAATATAAATGACTAAATTGTAAAGATTTAAAGTTTTTCGTATAACAATTGTAAAATTATTGTGAAACTCAATAATAATATCAAAAATTACAATGCAGGTAGATAGCATTAAGTATTGCTTTTGTTACAAGGTTCTTTTACAAAGTTTACAAATAAAGTATTGAATAAAATAATTTTGTTTAATACTTTATTTGTAAACTTTTTTCCTTCATTTTTTTACATAATAATATATTTATTATTTAAAGGGTCCGAAGTAGATTCGAGAAAACAGGTTTAACGATGGTATTTTTAGACCGCATGTTAAACATTAATTTTTTAAAAGTTCAAGACCTTTTTACGGCACGTACAATGTAATGTAATAACAAAAGAATAATCCTTGGATCCCAATATCTATTTGAACCGAGGGCCCACCGGAAAATTTATCGTTATATATATATATATATATATATATATATATATATATATATATATATATATATATATATATATATATATATATATATATATATATATATATATATATATATATATAACGAGAAATTTTTTAGTTCAATATGGAAAGAATTGTTTATTATTGACGAAATATTCAGCAATGAAAATTCTGTCAAAATCAAATTAAAGAAATTAAAACACAAATAAAGTTTTAGCAGGTAAAGAAAAAAAAAAAAAAGTTTTAGCAGAAAAAAAAAAAAAAAAGTTTCTTAAAATAAAGAAAAAAAGAACTTTCTTTATATTTGTGCTTTAACTAAAAAAAAAGTCTTGAAACCGATAGGTATTAGCATAGGTATAATCCAAGATCGTCATGCTTACAGAAGGACGTTTGTAGAGCAAAGAGCTCTTAAAACTACAAAAAAAAAATCTAAATTGTTATGATCTTATTACCTTTTACACTTGGGAATTGTTTTAAACCAAAAAAAAAAGATTTATTTCTATGCAAGACAAAAAAAACAACAATAAAATTATCAAGGAACTTTGTTATTAAAGTAGCAAATCAGCAAAGTAGCAAATAAGCCAATTTAAAAAACTATTTGTTGAAAAAAAGTTGGGAAAAATGGGTTGGGAAAAGCAGTAATTAAACGCCTCGGAAGTTGTCAGATATATGGGATTTAATAAACTGCAAAGATAATTCGAATACATGATAGGTTCAGTAGCTTATTGACATTTCTTTAAAATTAAGTTTTAACTTTTTATGACAAGCTGTCCGTTTCTTCAGTTCCACAAAAAATCTGCATTTATGTTAGTTTGAATGCGGATGGTTTTATGCAATTATTAACTAGTTAATAATTAACTTAAATAAATCCTTCCAATAAAATTTGTATAAAAATAACATTCAATACTCTGTCATCATTTGTATCTTCAGAAGACTCATCATTTAAAACTTAAAATGATTCATTAGATAAAATAAGAATCGTTATTGTTGAGATAGGACAATCAAATTCAAAACATCTACTTAAAATTTGAAGACAGTTTTCTAAAAGAATTGGTAACAGGGTCTTAAGTAATTTAGAGTAAATTTAGCAAATCTATATTGTAGAAGCACGTGACTGTTTTCTACAATGATTCTCTATAAATATTTATTTTGTGCTAATTGAGATTCTTTCAAAAATTGGCCAATTAGATAAATACACGACTTTCTAACTTCCGTACGTTGCATTGAACTTCTGTACACTGTAGCAGGCATGCATTACCACGAATAAATTTTAATATATACATAGTTCAAGCTTCAGTTTTTCAAATTCGACACAATCAATATCATTGGCAAAAGATAGCTTCCTTAATATAACACAAAACTGTTTAACCAACTTAACGTCTAGTGTTTGCTCATTTCTGGATTTAGTAAGCACCTGCAAGTTGTATTGCAATCATTTGTATAGCCATAAACATGTTTTGGTCTGTCTGCAATAAGTCTTTTGCTTATTAATGTAAAGAAAAGTTAGAAGATAGATTTTTTATCATTAATGCTATTTTATTTAATATGACTTAAAATTTAGTTTCAGTTTGCGTTTCTTACGCCTTTAGAGGTAACAAAACTTTTTGGATTTACATAAATTATGTTAAAACGAAAATACTTTATGCCCTTCTTTCAGTGAGCACTTGTTTTTTGATAGAAATAACTAAAACCCTATAAAATCTGAGGCCTCATCACTTTTTGAAATTCTGCCACCAAAAATCACAACATTAGATTTTTATTATTCTAGTGTTTTGTACATTTTCTAATGTAGTTAGCTAAGTTTCTATGACCTGACAAAAAATGTGCTAATTCTGCACATCGGTTTTTAATGTGAGTTATTAGTTATTAATGATTAGTTAGTAGTGATTAATTCAATATTTGAAATCAAAAGACTCAGGTTTGTAAACAATGCACTCCAAATTCAAAGTCTTTTGGTTTTTAAAGACGAATTTTTAATTTTTTTTGGACCAACCATTGGAAGCAAACGACCAATGCAAACTTATCTTTTAATTTGAAATTATTACCCTCTAACCAAATTTTATTTTTATTTTAGTTGCCTATTTATTATGCATATATTATTTTAGTTGTTCTATTAGCTGCAATCTACTTTTCTTCAAATTTACCGGATATGCTTGCTATTTTTGATTGTATTTTCTTCGTGAATTACAGGTCACACTTTATGTACTAAACTTTTTCAGAATAAAGTCACACATAAGAAAATTTTGTTTATATTTTTTATATTTTGGCCATTTTTTCAAATATTTTAATTTTGAAATAGAATATTCTTGGTCTGAAAAAGTAAAATAAAATTAAACGAAAAAATAAAAAAAATTAAAAATTAAATTTTAAGCACCTTAATATTGTGGTTATATTATATTAAAAAAATAGACAGGATATATGTAGAAAAATTAGTTTCATGCTTTGAAAATTAAGAAATGAAAAAAAAGTTGCAATTTTTAGATAGTGTTTTTAAAATCTACAGAGCTCCACGTTCGTCACATTTGAATTTGATGTTTAATAAAACACAAATTACTTTTAACTAAAATCCATCACAATGAAATAATGATTCCCCTGATAAACTTTTGTTAAACGAACTGTAAACTAAAAAAAAAAAATACTTTCATAAATGAAATTATATTTTAACATCGCTTTAATTGCTAATGGCTTGTTGCTTATGACTCACAGAGAAAATTCTAGGAGTAAAATAAAGAAAAGGGGAGGGGAATCCTCAAAAACTGCGGACTGTATTTTAAAAAAAAAGAAATACGATGCTTAAAAACTTGCCGACTGATATGTATCATATGCCAATTAGCCGACTATATTCCTTAAAAAACCGAATATAATGTGAAAAAAGAATAAGAAGTGTGACACTCCCCCACACCCTTAAAAATACCCCCAATGATATTATAACCTCATGTTGTTACCAATGAGGGGCTGTTATTCTGAAAATAACATCAATTAGAAAACTAACTTTTGTCTAGCTAGCATATGCTAGCTGGACAAAAGCTATGTGTGTAAAAAATTGTGATTTCATCTAAGGTTAAAGTAATTTTTTATTACTTTTTTAAACGTGGCACTGTAAGTTGTCTAATACATGCGTATTTATTAGACAACTTACAGAGTCACGTTTAAAAAAGTAATAAAAGTTTATTTTAACCTTAGATGAATTCACAATTTTTTACACACAACAAATTACCACTTAGTTTAAATAGCGTAGACATGCAGAACTTTGACTTTACAATATTGAGAGTGTTATAATTGTAAAAAGCGTCATTAAAACACATCATTTTTGTGGAACAAACAAAGAGTGGTTTCACAACCTCATACATTGTAAAACGCGTCACTATTGCGGAAAGAACATTAAGTGGTCTCACCACCTACATACAACAAAATAATTTTGCAATTATTTACATAAATTATACCAAGAGTGAAAGATTTATGTTTAGATCACGTGTTGTAAAGTAAACCATTTACTATTGGACGGGACTTTGCATGGCCGACAATACTGGTTTGGAAGTAGAGGAGAAAAATAGTCAATTTCTAAAAAAAGTGTGTGGGAGGGGGGGGGGGAGGAGAAAATCTGGTCCTCCCGATGCCGTCGCTTCTACTTTTATCGGATTGAATAGTTAGACAAAAATTAATGGATTTTGTTAAAAGTTAGTTAAACTTGAGGACTCAGACTACCTCAAAGTGTAAGAAATTTTTGGATGGTTAGTTGAGATTACAATGTTGCAGATACAAAACTATGAGAACTCTAGATGGATCTGATGTATAACAGATAAACAATACAAAAAAGGTGGGTTTAGTAAAACGTAAACAGGGGTTTTCAGGCTGTAATATTCTGAGGATAATATTAGACTAAGAATTAAATACAACATAAATTTTAAAGCGTGGAGACCGCCATATTTATTTCAAGTAAAAATAATAACACGAGTTTGGCATAATGACATGTGTGTATTATGCCGAACATCTTCCTTCTTTTATTTTTTTTTATTTTTTTTTCAAGTTTAAAGATGTGTATATTTATCATATAGTTAAACAAGTTCTTTATAATATACACTGTTAAATGAAGTCCCTCAAGTAGGCAGGTCTGTTTTTAGTCCTTAAAGATCTTCGCAAGTGAGGCTGCGCTTCAGTCGATAAAGTTTCAGAAATACATGTAGCTTCTATTTCATTATTTTCTGTTTCCTCATTTGTTGTAGGAGATGCGATAACAGCCGATAAATCGTATGGCAAATCAAGTTGTTCATGCTGAAATACTAGTGGTTGCTCATTGGTTTTAATTAGATGTTTACGATTGCGTCGATATACTCTTCCGTACTTATCTACTACGTTGTATGATCTGGGTAATGTTAATTTTTCTTTAACTGTCACTTTCTTCCATGTTCCATTTTTTCTCATCCGGGCGGTGTCGTTTGCTACAAGATTTG